GGGCCAAAACTATAATCAACCAATAAGATTGCAAGGACAGGGTTGGGGATATAGCTGAGTGGCACAAGCACCTGCCTGCCAAGTGCAAGGTCCTGAGTTCAATTCCCAGTACCAAAAAGAGAAAAAAAAAAAAGATTGCAAGGACAGCCACTTGGCTAATACTGACCCAGTAGTAGCAAGGCCATGTGGATGATGTCATTGACCCAGGTCAATAATCTGTAGTGTAGTCTTATTTTTAGTCTCAGTAGTCTTGCTCGTAGCCTAGTAGTCTCAGTGGGTGGGAGAGAATGGCCCGCCCCAATGAGATAATGGCTTATTTATACGGGAAATCTCAAAAGGGTGGTACCAATGATCTCACTAAGCTTCCGTGTATCCCTCATGGAAGTGTGTAAACCTGGCCATGTGATTTTAATCTTCTTCAGATGCACCTCTAGCCATGGTTTTGACGCATTCTCATCCTCTGCGCTGACTCCCTGGAGGGCCCAGCCCTGCCTGACTGCCGTGACGTTGCTGTCTATGGCAGAGTGATAAGCGTCCTGTAGACGGGATGCGGGGCCATGGACTCTGACATTTCCCAGAACCCACTGGGTCTCAAGTGGCCTAAATCACCTCACATAGAAAACACATTTCACCCCATACAGCCGTCCTCCCTGCAGTTACCTCAGAGAGAAAATGCAAGGCAGGTGGCAAAGTGACCTCAGGATATGCCGGAGACAACCTCCTAGAGCTCACGGATGCGGCCTCCCTGTGCCCTGCTGCTTGTTTCCCCAGAAGGAAGGAAATGAGGGGCACGGTGACAACCATTTCTCAGTGTGTCTGGCCAGCACCAGGACGAGCCCCTGCATGGGCACAGCGGGTCCCTGCACGTCACCCACGTTCACTGGCACTGCCATGGGATACAGACTCCCCACAGGGAGGCAGAGGTGGCCTGTGGGCAGGGACAGGCCCTTGGGAGGTCTCCAGTGCAGAGGAGGATGCCTGGAGGGGCTGTCTTGTCCCCAGGGGACACTTGGGGACGTCTGCGGACATTTGCAGCAGTCACACTAGGGCAGGGCTGCCAGCATTGTATGGGCAGAGACCAGGGATGCTGCCTGACACCCCACAGGGCACAGATGTCTCCACCACTCAGAGCCCCCGGCCCCAGGGTGGGTGGTGCCGGGAGCCAAGCTGTGCGAGTGACCAGGAAGAGGGCCCACAGCCTCTACCAGGGCCGATCTCCGAGGGAGGCCCCGGTGCAGACCTGTGGGTCCCGAGTCCCAGGACGGTGTCCCGGGCAGGGCATCCTGTGCCCCGTCCACACCGGGGCTGTGGCAGGGTGCACACACAGATGGCCACCTGCATGCCAGCCCTGCTCCTGGACAAGGCAGACCCCACAGGGTGGCAGGCCCCCTCCTTCCTGGTGCTGTGGCCCAAGCCAGGCCTGGGAACAGGGAGGCCCAGCTGTACACTCACCAGGGGACATACACTCTCATCCCATAATGCACTCCGGCCCCATAGTGCATCTGATGCACACGTCCAGCGCCTGGACCTTGGCCCACAGCAGTGGACTCAGGATGGCCAGCCAAGGCCTCACGTTTATTCACTGCAGCCTGTCACCCACTCCCAGTGGCCAGGCTCTTATGGTCTCGGGTGAAGGCTTCAAGACCGGACGTCCCTGGACATTTATCTGCTTGAGTATGAGAATCTGTGCCACAAATCCAAGTCATCCCTTGTCCTTGGGAATGTCATTTCTGGGTGTGCCCGTGTGGAGAGGGGCCGTGCTGTCCTGGGGCTGGGCCGGGGACCCGGTGTGGGAGGAGGTGCTGTCCACAGTGCCCACTCGTACACTCGTGCTGCGGCCGCTGTCACCCCAAGGGTCTCCGCAGGGGCAGTGGCAGAGTCCACGCTGGACACTGTGGTGAGCCTAGAGCCGCTGGTAGTGCCAGTTTTGTTTGCTTTTATTTACTTTTACCACGGGAGCGTGGGTACTGGTGGCAAGGTACTGACACTGTGTGGTGGTGGCCCTGGCACTGGTGGAGACGGTCACCTCCCTGGCCTGTGGGTGGCAGTCTCCTGCGTCCATGCTGAAAGCAGGTCAGAGGCCGACGGATTTGCTGTCAAAGGTCAGGTTGCTGAGATACCTGGGGTCACATGGAGGCCGACACCTCCTTTAACAAGCGATAGATCCCAGGTCCGTCCTGGAGCTGCCACACCGAGCACCTCTGGCCCCGCCTCCCAGCTCTTCCTGGCCCCTGCCGTCTGGTTGCTGAGCAGTGCCTACATTATCTTCCTTTTAATCTGAACTATGTGCTAGCATCTTTAAATCAGGGGATTTCATGAAATCCAGAGTTCCAGTTTCCCTTAAAATATGGCAAGTTTGGCAAGGTCAGGTCACGATTGACTGAACAAGTCTTACAGCTCTCTCTGAACTGTGGACAGAGACATGGGGCTCGAGCTGCCGGCCTGGGTGGAACTGGGCCCTGGCTCTGTGACATCCCGGCTCCTGGCTGCAGGCTCTGAGTCCCATGGGTCTATCTGGGGTGCTGCTCTAAAACGAGCTGGACACACGGTGGGGCCACAGTCCCAGGCCAGTGTCCCCCGTCCCGCATCTCCTTCCAAGCCGGATGACAGTGCAAAGATGCGGCCACTGGAGAAAACAGGGTTCAGCTCTGGGGAAACAGCTAAGACACCAACCCCGCAGCGCAGCTCCTCCGCCGGGTCCACGCCCTGGAGGATGGAGAGCAGGGTTCAGACGGTGCCAGAACCCAGGGCCTTGCACGCCCAAGTTCACAGCCTTGCGTTTTGCAGCAGCTGGGAGGGACAGCTGCTCACTCGTCCACCAGCAGGGCCCCGGGCAGCACGGATCGCACCCAGCCTGGGCATTCCAGGCACCGTGGTGCCCTGGGCGTGCGAGGGGCACAGAGGACCTGGGAAAGCTCCCCTCCTGGAACTCGATCGCAGCTTCACTCTGGAACTCCAGCCGTGGTGCTCGTATGACTCCGAGTGTCCATTTCTTCGTAAATAATATGAAGGTGATGACAGCAGGAAGGCAGGCTGTGAGCAAGACGGGAACAGATACCTTAACCCGGAAGCGCCCCTGCATGCTGCCCCGGGGACCCATCTGGGTTTGCAGTCTGTGCCTGCGAGGTGAGTTGGGACCCATCACTGTGACCAGGGTGCCTCAGACACAGCGTCTATGCGTCACTGAGCTTGCGCCACCCAGGGGCCTGGCGCAGGGCGTCCTGGGGGGGCGGGGGTGGCACAGCCACTGAGCGCCGCGCCTGTCCCACGGGCCTGGAGGAGGTGAGCCCGCGGGTGTTCCCCGGCCGATCTTGGGGTCTGTTCCCCAGGGTCCGTCCCCGCTGGCAGGAGCCCCGAGTGCGGGAGGCGCCGCTGCACTTTAGCTTCGTCAGCGGCCCCAGCACTGAAAAGCTCTGGGCGGGAGCGCAGGGGACCAGACTTCCCCCACCAGGCTGCTCGCGGCACAGATACTGAGAGGCTTCCAAGGTAACGAGAAGACGCGCAAGAATCTCTGCCAGGCGGAGTCGAAGCCTGCAGTTTGCTCTCACCAGCCCTGAACTTGGCAGCACCTGCTCACACCTCACTCGGGTTCTGCTGGCCTCCGCTGGCGCCCTGTAAAACACCCTACGGGGCTTCCCACCCGGTGCTGCCCAAGGCCGGCCCGGGAGCCCGTGGCTGTGGGGGTCAGGGGTTTTCAGGCCCCGGGCAGAGCCCTCTCGCGCTCAGCTAAGACTCACAGCTCCTGGCCCCGCCTGTCCAGTGGCCCCAGGAGGGGCGGGGGAAGTCCAGGCAGGACAGCGGTGGGCAGCGGGCCTGACGAAGCCTGTGGGGAGCCCTGTCCAGCTTCCACAGAGCAGTGGCGTACGTGTCCGTCGCAGTCCGCCTCAACAGTCCTGGGCCCGGAAGTCCTTCCAGGTGCCTGCCTGGTGGGGTGCGGGAGTTTGCAGACTGCAGGCGGGCACTCATGTGTCTGGCAGTCCCCTGGGGCCCCTTCAACAAGGGGCAGCGGTCTCCCTGGCAGCCCAGGCACCCTCCCCGATGCCTCCCCTGGGGGATGAAGGTGCCGGCAGATTTGGGGAACAGCCTGTGACCTGCTGTCGGCGTTTGGACAGACAGAGGGTAAACTGGCCGACTGCGACACTGCGCTCAGTAAAGACACGGGCAACACAGGACGGACCAGCACGAGACGCGGGCCCAAACCCCGACAGCACCCCGCAAGTGAAGGAGTCGACGTCACCGGGGTGCTCGAGAGAGCCTGGGCGCTGCAGATGCTCTGGGCAAGGTAGGGACTGAGCTGAGCCCAGACGGTGGGTGGAGCCCGCCCTGCCGGCCTCCGGAGCACACTGCCCGCCCCAAACCCGCTCGTGCTAGGGCCCACTGCTGCCGCGGATGAGGGAGCCGTGGACTCCGTGAGACACGTCTGACTGCGTGCAGACTCCACAGGGAGGAGGGGTCCTCAGAGCCTCCCGGGTCCCAGCTCGGGAGCCTGGGACCTTTCCCAGCCTGCCTCCAGGCCGGGTGACCCAGGCCAGGCCAGGGCAAGCATCCGGCTGCATCACTGCTCTTCCTTCTCGCCTCCTCAGAGGGACCCTCCCAATCACAGGTTCTTTATTTTTGTTTAGTCACTCATTTATTTATTTGCCGTCCTGGGGATTGAACCCAGGACTTTTGGACTGAGCTACTACCCCAGACCTTTTAATAAAATTCTAAATTTTGAGACGGAGTCTTTCTAAGTCACTACACTGCCCAGGCTGGGCTCAAACTTGGGATCCTCCTTCCTCAGCTTTCCAGAGCACTCCAACCACACCCAGATGCATAATCTTTTTTTTTTTTTTTTTTGGTCTTTTTGAGACAGGGTCTTACTATGCAGTTCAGGCTGCCCTTGAACTCACTATGTTACCCAGGCTGGCCTTGAACTTGCAGCAATCCTCCTGCCTCGGCCTCCTGAGTGCTGGGATTATAGGCATGCACCACCACACCTCCCCAGGTCATTTCTGGCTGCCTCTATAAATCCCATTGGCCTTTGGGATTTTTTTTTTAGGTGTACAACCAAACATGGTTCCCATGGCAACAGCCTGAAGAAAGTAAACTTTTCACTGTGCCGCGCTGAACGGCGTCTCTTCTACCGCAGACACAGTCCTGGGCTCCGTGGGCGGCCTCACTCCTCACCGCTCCGGGTGTGGGTGCTCAGAGCGGGCGAGGACAACCCGGCCCCTCTCTAGTGCCTCCCCGGGAAGCCCCAGTCTCACGCTTTTCTAATCCTCCAACCAGAACCTTTCACGTTCAGGAGCGAAGCGACCGCATTGAAGCTTTGATCAATAACGGAAAGTTCCTGCGTGCCACGCGCGGAGGCCAGGAAAGTATGCACAGAAATCAGGGGGGCTTTGCTGTGCCAGACAGCAGCCACCACGAAGCAGGGGCCTGGGCCCAGGGGGAGGGGACAGGGTCACGTGTGGCAGAGGTCACATCTCCCCACTCCAGTGCCAGCTGCCACACAACCCAGGTCACTGGGCTCAGAGGGGAGCCTTCTCCGGGGCCTTCTGCTCTGCTTGTGGGTGGCACACGTTCCAGACCCAAGTGCCTGAGCGGGCTCAGAGCTGGCACTGGATGTGCTGGCCAGGAAGACGGCTGGGGACAAGTCAAGGCTGGGCCCTGGGGACACCTGGCATCCACAGGGAGGTCCGGAAGGCAGGAGGGCATCATGTCTCACTTCTCAGGGTATCCTGGGGTCTTCCTGTGCCTGGCGCTCGGCTCACCCAGGCTGCAGGGCCATGGTGGCACAGGTGACCTTCCCAGGGAGAGCCCTGCCTGGTCCTGCTGGCATCTCCTGTTGTCTACTCCCTGAGAGGGCTTTGCTCCAGGGTCCCTCGGTCCCTATGTCTCTCTCTCCTCGGTCACCTGGGGCCTGGGGCCATGGAGGGGCCATGGCACTGGGGTCACTGAAGTCTGCTAGGAAAGGACAATGGGCAGGAAGGAGGCCCCGCACATGTGCTGTAGAGGTTGATGGTGTCTTAGTGAGGGGAAAGTAGACAGGATTTCTTCTGGAGAGTAGGTGCTTTGTCCAGGAAGTGTGACAGCAGCACTGGGCAGCTGACTGCCATCCCCCACACCTTGTGTCACAGTGCCACGGACGGGGTGACTATAAGCCTTATTCTGAAGGGTGCCCCACTCAGGAGGCTGAGGCAGGAAGATCCCAAGTTTGAGGCCAGTCTGAGCAACTTAGGGAGATCCTATCTCAAAACAAAAAATGAAAAGGGCTGAGGGTGTGGCAGTGGGCCGTTCGGGGCCCTCTCCCCACGAGCAGCACATGCTGGGGCCGGGTGCAACCTTGTCTGGGGACAGGAGCATGTTGAGGCTGGGGCGAGTTCAGGACATTGGAGAGAAGGACAGCAGAGGTGCCCTCCTCCTCGGGAGCAGAGAACATTCTAGAAGAGTCTGGAGAGCCTGGAGGCGGGGCCCAGACCCTATGGTGATCCCAGGAGCCAGCCCCAACTTGGCCTCTGGTCACAAGGGGATTTGTTTGTGTTTTTCCTTCCTGGGGAAAACTGCTATTCCCAGCAGCTCCAGAGGCCCAGGCCACCTGCCCCGGGAAGCGAGCTGCCTGCGGTGGACTTAAAGTAGACTTGATCCTGCTGCGAGGCCTCACAGGGCCCCACCCTCCGCACCCCCCTTCACCGCGCCCTGAGCACGAGCCTGCAGTCTGGCCACAGGGTCCCCAGGGCTGGGTGGGGGGACCCACACCCGACTGCGGGCACAGGGTGGCAGGCGCTTGGCGAGCCGTCCTCCCCTGACGGCTGCTGTCCTTGTGGCCTGGGGCCCCTCCAGATGTTCCAATGCTGGTCGGGGCTGTGAGTGTGACTGCGTGGCACACGCGACTTTCTGCTGGGACTAAGCTGGACGCCAGCCGTTGCCAGGGTCGTGTGCAGGGGAGACAGGAAGTCGGCATGGAGGTGGGGGCAGGGCACCGGCCGAGGCCCCCCCCATTCCCTCCACGCCCACCGATGTCCCGAAAGCTGCCTGACCAGCTCTGCACAGCCCTGCTTGGGCTCGGGGGCCACTGCTGCCACAGATCCCAGGGGGACAGCCGTCCCGGAGCCGAGCAGGGCGGGCAGGTGCGCAGGGTCGCAGGCCAGCTCAGGGGAGGGGACTCCGGGACGGGTCCTGAGGCCCAGGCCTCCCTTTGATGCTCTGAGACTTCCCGACACTTCCGCACTGCAGGTTTCCTGATGTGGGCCCGGGGGCTCCCACAAGTTCTGGCGAAAACCAGCGTCTGGTTTCCCACGTGGCTTCAGGAAACGGAGCAAACGCCCCAGATGCACAAAGTAGCAGCCTCCGCGCGCGGTGCAGAGACGAGCAGCATTCCAGGCTGCTGACAGCTCAGTCCCGTTTCCCGTGAAAGCCGCAAGTCCGATCCCGCCACCTCCCGCCAGGGACTGAGGGGAGGAGGCAGCCAGTGTCCCCCGCGTGGCCCTGCAGTCGCTCTCTGTGTGGCCCTGCCAGGCAGTGTGGACTCCGCGCTCGGGTTCTCAGATCACACCACAGGGAGCCGGGGCAGCCCCACAGAAGCCTCCCCGAGCTCCCCCCAACGCACCGGCACCCACAGGATGGCAATGGCGCCCCCGCACAGGCTGAGAGTGGGGACAGAGGCAGCCAGGGGCATGGGGGCACTGGCCAGTGACCTGCACCCCACGCCCCGCCCGTACTGTGCTTGCGGCGGGCGCACGCTCCTGAGCCCCAGCATCTCACACGCTCGGCCAGGCCCCCTCCTGCCGGTCCCCGCCCAGGTTCAGCCTCTGAGGCCTGAGTCCAGCAGCCTCCCTCCCCTGCGTGCCGCTCGGCGCTGGGCCTGGGTGGGGACGGGGGTGGCTGTCACGGGGTCTCCACAGGTCTGGAGCTGTGCACGGGCACACGCGTGCTTACTCGCTCACCTGACCACGGGCTCTCTCTCTCACACACGCGCGCGCACACACACACACACACACACACACACACACACACGGTCATCCAGACACTAGCATCAGTGCTCACACAGGCTGCGCACACGCTCACCCGGGTCCTCCCACACCGGTCTGCACACCTGCTAGCCACAGTCTCAGGTGGCCAGAGGCCTCTAGCGTGGCTGGTGACAGCCGGGCCTGAGGAGGGTCCCAGGAAGCTGAAGGGAATTCCTCCTTGGCCACCGCCCCGCCCCGCCCCGCCCTGCCTGCCCACTAGTGCCGCAGGAGGGCGTGCCAGGGATCTCACGCCCTCCACAGGTGGGCAGTGCCGCCTCTGCCACTACTCAGAGGCCCCATGTGCAGCGCTGGTGGCTGGAGGACTCCCCTCCACCCCGGCCTGGTATGTGAGGGCCCCCTAGACCCTGTGTGAAGCATCTCAGGGCAGCTCCAGGGTCCCAGCTCTGAGGGCAGCCGCTGGTGGATGCCACTCTCCATCCTGTGACCCTGCAGGCCCCTGCCATCGTCCCCAACCTCAGCAGCTCAGGTGCCTGTGTCCTGGGGGCAGCGGTAGCCTCACTGCCCGCCGGGCCACGATGGCTTCTAGGGTGAACTGGATGCCGGAGTCCATGACAGGCCAGTCCTTTGGCCAAAGCTTTCCTGGGTGGTGAGCTGGCTCCCCAGCCCCTTCCTAGAACCGGCCTTGTGTCCTCTAGGAAATCTGTGGGGCCAGAGGCTGGGGACAGGCTCCCTGACACCCGTGTGCCCCGAGGTCCCCTCTGGAGAAGGTAGGCACAGGGAGGCCCCCCAGAACTCACCCAGTCTGGAGCATTTCTAAAGTGACCTCAGGGAAGCAACCCGGGGACTGCAGTACACAGATGGACACATGAGCCCTGCATCCGAGCGAGAGGAGCTCATCCACTGCAGAGAGGAGAGAAGGGCCGGTCTGGGCAGCAACGTGCAGGAGCTGGGCACATGGCGGGGCAGGAAGGCCTCACGCCATGCGGTCTCCTGACACGCACGTTCCGGGCAGGGACCCCACAGGAGGCAGGAAGCGGGTGCACACCGCACTGGGGCAGGAGGCGGGAGGGCCTGAGGAAGGGAGCCGGTGTTCCTGGGACACAGGCAGGAGGTGGAGGACAGGCCTGCTGCCGACAGGGGACAGGAAGGTGCTCAGAGCTGAGGAGCCGGGGCTGGCGAACTTGGGGACCACAGCTCCCGGGGACTCGTGCCTCATGCACTGGGGCCCCAGAAAAGGTCCCCAGGGGCCTCACCTTGGCATGTAGCCAGGGCTCCTGCTGGGGACACTGGTTCCTGCTCAGTGCCAGCTGCAGCCCCTTCTTGGGCACTCACGGTGGCCCCAGAGCCCCTCACGCTCAGCTGGGAAGACTCCAGCAACTCTGCATATTTCAGACACATCTTTTCTAAAGCTCGAAGAAGAAGGGTGACTCCTACTTCAGCTGTCAAGTCACCTGTCAGTCACCGCAGAAAGCTAAATCAATTCAAACTGCAAACCTTTGGGGTGTGACCCCGTACCCACCCTTCCAGCTTTCTTGGACCTTGTAAACATTTGCACAGCCTTTAATACTCAGTAAATACTACTGTGTGGAGGAAAGGCTTGCTAACTGTGACCATGGCCAGCAGAATAACGCTGGCCCTGCTGCCACACGTCACATCTCGCACGGGAGCCGTGACCCAGACGCGCACACGGGCTTGGCAGGTGGGTCCAGGCCTCTGCCGGGGATGGGGTCCTGAATCGGCCCGTGAGCCTGGCTAACCACGCAGGCAGGTGGAATGTGGGGCCCCTTTCCTGCTGCGGTCACCAGGAGACACCAAGACAGAGGGATGGGACACAGACGGTGGCTCTAAAGATGGAGGAAAAAGACCCATGGTTCGAGGACTGTGGGAGCCTCTGGCGCCCTGAAGGGCCTGGAAGCCTCAGAAGGGGCACCCACTCCTGAGGTCAAGACTTCCACCCCAGAACAGCAGGAGCGGTGTCCCCTGCTGGCCCCCACCTAGGGCTTCCGGCTCTAACATCTCTGCCCCAAGCCCCTTGGAGGTGAGCCTTCTTTCCTCACCTGTGTGAACCAGTTCTCCATCTGATGGCTATTGGCTGAAACAGGTCACGTGCCTACCCCCCCAGCCAATCACTGCAGCCTCAGAGATCTGTGCTCTGATTGGCCAGCTCTGGCCCACATGACCAGCCCTGCAGCCAGGATGGAGCGTGAGAATGAGCTGGGGAAGTGCAGGATGCTGTGGCTGGAAGCCGGGGACGGGACGCAAGCGTCACAGGAATGTCCCCTGCAGGGGTGCCGGGGAAATGCGGCTTTCCAGAGGCCAGCGGCTGCTGCACCCAGGGCGAGCTGTGGCTGTCCCAGCCTCGTGTTCCCACGGGAAAGCCTCCCCGGGCCTGGGCACAGCCTGAGCCCCCTGCCTCCCAGGTCCCCACGCAGCTGCACAGCGCAGCCTGGGCCTCCCATCTCCCGGTCCTGCGGGCCAGGAACCTGCTTCTTGTGTTTGTTTTCGTGGAGTTTGCAAACTTGGGTCTTGGCTTTCCATCCGGGCAATACCCGGTTTTTCTCACGCACTCCCGCTGGCCTGTGCGGGGCCTGAAAGGGCGCTGGTGGGGCCTGAGAGGCGTGAGGACCCCGAGCCAGCAGAGCCTGCCGTCCCTTGGCCCCAGCTCCCCTGGCCGGCTCCCTGACTGTCAGCCTCTTGGACACCCCGCGGCTCAGGTCCACCCCATCTTTCCCACGGCCCCTGACCCTGCGCCCCCACCTCCGGGTCACGGCGGGACTGAGGCCCAAACGCACAGGTCCAGGGGACAGCTGTCCTCCCAGCCAGCAGCGGAGGGTGACTCACAGCTCATTCTGCCCGGGCAACGTGAACTGGCTCAGCCAGAGTGGAATACTTTTGGCTAATTCATTTGGCAATCACATCAAAGCCCAGAGGGGACGGAGTCCAAGTTTCCTCCTCCTTTAAAAATAAAATAAAACAGAAACAAAAACAAATCCGGGCATGAGCAAAGCAGGGCTCCGATGATCTCTCGTTCCCTGGCGAGGTGGTGCCGGGCGGGCGGGGCCGCACCAGGCTCTCCGCCCAGTCCTCCCCACTGCCCAGCACAGAGCGTGGTTTGCAGCGGGTGCCTGGGGAGCAGCCGAGGGTCGCCTTCCAGTTCCTGTTGCAAAACAAGGAAACACCCTCAGTTTAACAGCAGAGAACGAGCATCTTCCAGGTCTGCAGTTCCGGCAGGGTAGGGGCTTCGGCAGGGCGGGATGTTCTGTCACCAGGGCAGGGTGAGTCTGTGGTCCACTCACGTGTCCGGCAGTAGCTGCTGGCTTTCTGTGCCTGAGCTGGCTGCTGTCCACGGCACCTCCACGGGACCTCTTCATGGGCCAGTCTGCGGGTCCTTACCTGTGAGAGCACAGTTCCAGGACAAGCATGCTTAAAAGAGCCACAGGATGCTTCCCCACCACCATTTCTGAGTTATTCTCGGGTATCACACAGCATCATTCCCTCCGCAGTGACAAGCCCACTTGAATTAAGAAGCACCGTAGCCCTCATCTTGATGGATAGGTTGGGGTCAGGGTCACACTGTAAGACATGTGAAAGATGGATGGTGCAGTTGCAGCCATTTTGTGACATACACTCGGCCTCAGGCGACCGGTGACTGGCTCCTGGATGGACCACTCAGTCTTTGAGGTGACTTACCAGCCTCACTACAGGTTTTCTAAAGGGTACTAGGCATCAGTAAAGCTGGACAGATGGACCTCAGAGTCAGAGCTGGATCAAAAACATCTTTCTCTCGAAAACGCCACATCACCCTGTGTGGCAGAACAGGGTCCCGGTGACAAGTGAAGCCAGATGGGCCACATCCTGGCCACCATTTTCTGTTTCAGACTTTGTAAGATGAGATCATCGTGGAGGGCACATGGGGTCGGTGTTATTTTTTATGAATCTGCAGTTATTTGTCTAAAATTTCCTATTAGAAAAACATGAAGCCGGGCCGCCTGGATCCACATCTGCCTGTCGGTCGCAGCGTCCCCTGGAAAGCCGCCCGGAGCCAAGGCACAGGCGCTGCTTCGATGTCAGCAGACAGGAGTGGGGCGAGGTCCCAGCGGCCCAGACAGACGCCCGGGGACACGGAGCCCTGCGCAGAGGGTCCCCAGGCGCAGCCGTGGGCGACGCGTCTGCACAGACAGGGCTCACAGGTCCTAGCGCTCACGCGGCAGCCCTGCCACCGCTGTCGGGGTCTTGGCCGCAGGCCAGAGTCCCGGCTGCGGCTGCCCCTGTGCCGAGGGGTGGGACACGGGAGCCAGGACAGCAGGGCGCTGCCGCCCCGAAGTGGTGCTTCTCATCCTCGAGGGGACCGTGGAGAGACGTGGGATGGCTGTGTCGCCTTCCCAGAAGAGGCACCGGGGCTCGGAGGTCAAGCTGGGTCTCCACCCTTTGTACTCACAGACAGGGACGCGGCTCACCTCTGAGGAGCAGCTGGCGAGGTCGCGGGCTGGAAGACATGTCAGCACCCATCGTGTGAAGAACGGCAGAGCGAGCCCGCCCGCACCCGTGGCCCTGGCACAGCAGAGCCTGTTCCGCCAACACCTTCACAGGCCCCCAAGGTCAGGGCGTGGATGTCCTCAGGGCCCGTTACAAGCCTGGCCAGATCGCCTTCCAGAAGCTTCCCTTTTATCATGAGTTGGAGGAGAAACAAAGAGACCCTCGAGTGCAGCGGGGCCCGCGGAGTCTCAGCTGCCTGGAGCCCTCCGGCTCCGTTTCCAAATGAGGCTGAAACAGGGACGCCCCCTCCATCCTGGCCTCCGGGATTAGGGGCGGCTCTGCCACCCTGGCCCCTGCCCCGGGCAGCCGACTGTGTCCCACACAGCCGCCGTGCTGCCTCTGCCCCGAGGGCGAAGACACCGGCTCTCGGCATCCGACCTTCTTGCCTCCTGCCCTTGCGGCCTCTGTCCGGTTTTCCAGTAGGACTAAGAAGCCCACACTTGTCACCATCCAAGGAGATGTGACGTGTCATGGGCTGAACTGTGCCCCCAACACCCACGTCCTAGGGAGCCCAGGGACCTGCAGGGGTGGCTTCCGGCGGAGACAGTGCTGCTGGTCACAGGTGAGGGGAGTGGGATGACCTTGTGCTGCTCGTGAAAGTTCCACAGACTCTCAGGGAGGGACGGGAGGACACAGCCACAAGCCAGCAGCCAGGGACGGGCACAAGGGCCTCCCCGGAGCCTCACGGGGAGCAGGCCGCCCGGCTCCGCCGCCGCAGGGTCTGTTCCTGTGAGGTCGCCCAGTTCATGTGCGTCATCTTCGTCCTCGGGGTGGCCCGGCTGCCGTGTGCCGCTGGCACGGCTGTGGGCACAGCGAGGGAAGACCGCCAGCCCTGAAGGCTGTGGGAGCCAGCAGGGTCCAGACTGCGGTCAGGCTCGGCCGGCCACAGCTGGTGCCACATCCCCGGGCCAGATGCAGAAATCTGAGAGCAGCCTCCAGGGCAGGGGTCCCGGGTCCCATACGGCCCTCCCGGGATTGCGGTGTGCAGGTGAGCAGCGAAGCCAGGACACCCACGTGCACGTCGGCTCCCTGTTCCCCCTCGGCTTGGCCTGGGCACCTAGCAAGGCATCCTGAGAGTTCATGGAGGCCACGTGGACAGCAGCCGACCCAGGAGGACTCAGTCATGGTTCTCAGGAGGCCTCAGGGCCAGTGAGGGGTCGCTGTGGACCCTGCGCTCAGCCCCTCCACTGGTCCTGCGGGCTGCGCTCCACTCACAGCTGCAGGCGTGTGCGTACAGGTGCCGGGCTCCATGTCCCTTGGGAGAGCTGAAGGAAAGCAGACAGCCCCAAGAAAGAGCAAGGGAGCCGCAGTGTGGCCCAGCGAGGGGGGGCCAGGCAGGGGTCCCACAGCAGCCCAGGGCCACAGAGACGTCCTGGACCCATGACGGTGGTCCCCAGGTGAGGAGATCCAGGGTGCAGTGTCCCCTCACCCACACATCTGGACAGTGCCAGGTGCTCACACAGAGGGAGGGGGACCCGGTGATTCCCACTGCCACCTGTGCAGGGGGGCCAGACCTCGGGGAGGTCATCAGCAGGGTCAGAGACAAGGGGGCGGGGGTGGTGCACAGGTGTGGAGACAGAGAGAGATACACAGACAGGGAGCTTGGTAGAGGGATAGGAAAATACACAGATGGACAGACAGACACAGAGATAGGTATGTGGACACCAGTAGGTAGAGATAGATAGATGCACACATACACAGGGACTTAGACACGTAAGTAGGTAGATAGACACACCTAAGCATGTGGGTGGACTTTTAGATAGCTGTGTCTACGTATAGATAGATCATACACAGATGACAGTTGTGTAGCTGTGGAAGTAGAGGTCAGATAGAGTAGGTAGATGATGAACAGGTCCGAGAGTAGACGCGGAGGCAGAGGGCAGGCAGCGCACAGCAAGTGGTGCACAGCGGCTGGCAGGCGTGCACACCGCAGGCTGCGTATTTGCTGCGTTGGAGGCCTCAGGCTGACTGCAGCAGGGAGACAGCCGGGCCCCGGGCCCTCCCAAGGTGAGGCCCACCCAGGTCGCGGGCGGCCCCTTTACCACTGCAGGGGCCAACCCAAGGGCGGTGCCACCCCAGCATCCCAGCCAGGCCAGGCGGACTGGCCCACGCTCACCCTGGGGCTCTGGGAGGAAGGGGGCACCCGGGGAGGCCACCAGCTTCGCCGTCACAGAGCTGCAGAGGGGCCAGGCCCCAGCCTTGGAGCGCCAAGGGAAAGCGCGTGCGGACAGAAGTCCCAGCAGAGCGGCTCCGGCCCTGCAGGAGGCTGGGGGACCTGCGTCGCGGGAGCGCTGGGCTCCTGGGCCCCTCGACCCTCCTGCTGAGCCCCGGGGAGGGGCGCGGGCTGTTCCCAGTCGTGTTTGTGGTGAACGCAGCTGTAAAACGCCGACTCTGAGAAGAGGGAGCCGGGCAGGCAGAATAAAGGCAACGCAAACACTGAGCACAGCGAGGAATTAGCGGGCGCAGGCGCGGAGGCAGGGCGGGGGCACCGTGCCCAGGGTGCGCTCCCTCGGCCGCCAGACCCGGCTGCGGAGGACAAGAGCCTCTCCACACACAGGCGCCGCTGGCCCTTGGGAAAGCATCCTGCCTCTCTGCCCCACCCGGCCTCCCAGAAACCTGTCCATCCAGACGGGGACTGCGGAGGTGGGGAGCCCACCCTCCCACACTCTGAGCCCAACCCAGGAACGGGATGGGCCGCCAGCTCCCACTGTGCCTGAACCGAGTCTGTGTGTGTGTGACACACCTGACACACCTGACACACCCGAGCCCAAAGCCGGGCCCTGAGTGCAAAGGAGCAGAACCGAAGACACACGGCCTTCTGGGGGTGCTCTGAAGACAGGAAATGCCCCCCAAAGGAAGGGAGGAGCGGGACACAACCGGGAAACAACCGGAAACCAGCGCGAGGCCTGATGGAGGGTTGCCGATGCCAGACCGGGAAGGGTCACGGTGCGAGGGGAGGCTGGCCGCAACGGGATCTGGGGGATTTCAAGACCAGGGTCCTCCCCACGCCTGAAGTGACAGGAGAGCAACCACGGGACCCGTCCGCTCCGCACACGCGTGCTGCCGGCCTCTCTGAGATGCATCCTGAGGACCTGGCTCGCAGGGAGGGGGCTCGGGTGTCACTGCCATCTCCGCTGGTCTTGCCAGCTTTGTACCCTCCACGTGATGAGCGCACGTGCATTCCGTGACCAGGGGAGCTGGTGTCCTGCCTCCGGGCTTGGGGTTCAGGTGAAGGGCAGGCCCCTGCTGCGTCTGGAAAGTGTAGGCCACGGCTTTGTGGTCAGATCCAGTAGGCAGCAGACCTGCACTCCGCCAGGTGCCCCTGAAGCCAACACTCACTCACCAACCCTGGTGTGGCACCATCTGCTACCCTCAGAGGCTCCGTGTGACCCAGAGCAGTGTCTCCAATGCTGCTGCAGACCACGGCTCCAGCAGGCAGGCGTGGAGGACAGGGATGGCCCTGGGGGACGCAGGGCTTGGTGTCTGTTGTAACCACGCTCCCCATGTTTCCTGCAGCCAGTGAAGGCCACGGTCAGCGTTCCGGGAGCTGAGCCGGACACAGCGGCCCAGGGAAAACCCTTTCCCCCTGCACGAGGGGTGGGTGCGTCTGGGAGAGCTGGGGCTGGGTGCTGAGTCATGGGGGCAGCGCACGGGAAGGGCACCCGGGACCCCGGCCGAGAAACCACGCCATCCCCCACAGCCTCACCACCACCACCGCCCTCCACAGTAAGAAAGCCGCCACCAGGAAGGCTCGGCTCCCACGGGAGGCTCAGGGGCCCAAGGGTGGCTCTGCCAGCCACAGCACCGTGCTTCCCTGTGTCCCCCGGGATGGGGCTGTGAAGCTCTGTGTCCAAGGTGACCCTCCTGCCGCCATGGAAGTCGCTGGTCACCCTAGTTACCCTAACGGGGACAAGCCAGGGACCCAGGAGAGTGCGAGGCCGGCTGGAGACCCTGGCAGGCCCCTCCCAGGCCTCCGCTGCATGACACCTGCACATGTCCTGCGCCTCAGGGATGGAGTCTGCAGAGCCCCCACCCTACCCCACCCCCAGTGTCCTGGGGAAACTTCGGGTCCCGGCCGGCAGCCACTCCATTTTGTCCTCTGGGTCGCCTTGGCCAGCGACAGCCACCTTCACGGCCTCCGCCCAGCTCCCACTTGGCGATTATCCACCTCCTGTTGGCACATATAATTATGCTCGCCACCTACACAGGGAAACTGAGGCGGGTGTAACTAGGCCATCGCCCGGCAACCTGGCTCCATCCACCTCCTGACCCAGACAGCCTGGGAAGCAGCCACAGTGTGAGGCCTGGATCCCGCCCCACCTGCCCTCCGCCCTGCAAACCACGAGAGGGAGGGGCCGCGAGTCTCGGGGGAAGCTGCACATTCTGCCTTTATGTGGAGCAGGGCTGCTCTAAAGTGCGCAAAACCCCGCACAGTTTTCAAAACCAAAAATGCCTGGAGCAGATTCTGTCCCTCAGACCCAAATGCAGACCTGGGGGCTCAAGGCCTCAGCTAGAGATCCAACCTGAGCTGAGCTGAGCTTTACGTGCAACTTCAAATATTCCAGTAGCTACTTTTGAAAAAATAGAGGCTGGGCATGATCGTCCATACTTGTAGTCCCAGTGCTTTGGGAGGCTGAGGCAGGAGGATCTCAAATTGGAGCCCAGCCTGGGTAACTCAGTGACATAGGAAGACCCCGTCTCAAAATTTAAAAAATAACAAAGGGCCAGGGATGGAGCTCAGTGTGAAGGGCCTGGGTTCAATCCCCAGTACCAAAAGTAAATAAAAAATCTTTAGCAGCCAGCAGGTGCAAAGAGGCTCCGTGCGGCTGCCCAGGCGCGGTGAGGGGCCAGGATGCACCCCCTTTGCTGGCGGTGTGCTGGGGTTTCCAGTCAGCAGCCACACTGCACCGACCCACCGTGCCAGAGAAATGCAGTGCACCGGGAGCTTGGCCTGCCAAAGGTAAAGTTACCTGGTTCTAAACTGAGTTTAGAAGGTCGGGTAGGTGCGGCATTTCCTCGGTTTTGTTTCTGGGGGCCGGGTAGCCACGGTTATTTGAGCGTCTGGCGAAGCAGCCCGCGGCCCTGCTCACTGCTCTGCCCCGGTGCCCAGAACCTCCGCACAGTCTCTGAGGCTCTGGGTGCCGGCCCACGGGGGGGCAGCCCCGGCCCCAGCTCATCTGACAGACGATGCGCAGCTCAGAGCGCAGGCGAGAGGCGGCGAGCTCGGGCCCCCCTCCTCCCCCAGGACTTGCTGGTGTCACGGCAGCGACTCCACATCCACGGCGTTTCAGAGGAGCCCCTCCCCGGCCCTCTGCTCACGAGTGCAGCTGGCAAAGTGGGACATGCGGGCTCCTTGGGCGGGGCCCGGGTGGCCTCACTCCTGAACCCCCCAGGTGGCTGCTTCTAACCCTCACAGCCGCCCCCGTGCAGCAGGGCGGCACTACCTTCTGAGACTGAAGCCTGGGGTGACCAAGGCCGAAGACCCTCTCGATGTCTGTCTGACCTCCGGCCCCGCCTCCTCCGCTGGCTGAGCCGCAGCTCTGCTGAGGTACCTGCCTGCCCGCTCCACGCACACACCCAGCCGGGCCTGGTGGCCTTATCCCCTCCACTCACGGGCGCAGTGCAGACATGCAGACATTCAACCCAGTGAGGTGAAAGACGAAGGCCCTTGCAGGGCTTCTGGAAACTGCTCTCACTGATTAAAGAAAAAGATCTCATACGGTGAATGTGGCTTGTCCTTTTTCTCCCATGGAATAGGTACCATTTGTACATGTGATGGCAGGAACAGGGGCAGTCATCATGAGCACAGGAGGAAAGCTGGCCCAGGCCAAAGCAATAGGCTCAAAATGGCAGAGCAGAGAGATGAATGAATATTGGCCCTTAACAAGGCTTTCAGTCACCAACGAACCAAGCCAGGCCCCGTCCTCGCTGCCGACGTGTGGTTCTGACAGGTGTCAGCCCCGTATTACTGAGGGCATTCCCAGTCAAGTCTTCTGCTCTGCCACTGGCCAGCCCGCCCTGAGCCTTCCCGATCTGACTTGTGAGAACTGCTCAGACTCAGTGGCTTCGGAGTCAGTCATCAAACATCTGCAGAGGCACAGTCAGCCTTCTCCGGCCTCTGCCTGACTGCTGCAGGCCGGGGGAGAGAGGACAGCCTGGAGCAGAGTGAGGCCCCACTTCCATCCAGGGCCAGCTGCCGCCCACAGGCATGGCCCTAGCCCGAGACAGTCCTGGGCATCCGGAGGTCACCTGGCAGGGCCACCCTGCCCCACGCTGCAGGCAACTGGCTAGACAGGGTCAGCCCACCTGGAAGGGCAGTGCACAGCTGCGCAGGAGGCCCCGGGGGCACTGATGACACGCAGACTGGGTCCCTGCAGACCATCCCAGGGGCCAGGCATGAGGAGGGCACGTCTTAAAGCCGGCCGGCCCAGGATGCCACTGCACCAGCCCTCACATCTCCTCTTTCTTCTCCTTCTCCATGGCCTCCTTGTGGGCTTCTGACCTCCACATCCGAGACGCCTCAGCTGAGGCAGCTCCCCTGGGAGGGGCACTGGCCGAGCCCCCTGCCTGGGTGGTGGTTCCAAGGCCCTAGGGACACTGGAACACACTTATGACGTATCATCAGTGTGGTGGGTCAGGGCGGGGACTGTGTTCCCCACAGAACTCTCCTCCTGGAAATTCGGGCTCTTTCTTCCCAGAGACACCTGTGCGGGACACATGAGATTCAGTGTGTCCCCCTTCCCTCACACACACGTAGGCACATGTCCATGCACACACGCACGCACCCACACACGTCTAAGGTCAAGGCCTGACCAGCCGGGATGGCCTCAGCCCCAGCAGCGTGCAGAACCTGACGGAGAACACAAAGGTCTGTCTGGTCCCCAAGCTCACAGCTCAGAGGATGCTCGAGGCTCGCGGGTCCCTGGGGCAGCTTCGCTGGGTCGGGGAAGGTTTGGAGAAGCCGGACCACGAAGGAGCAGGGCGGGCGCTGCGTGCGGTGCCTGCCCCTGGATGCAGCTGTTCCTGAGGCTCCGTCCCTTCCACCCCGAGGAGACGGAGCTTGGGGTGGCTTAGACAATCCCAGCTGGGTTCCTCCTCTCACCAACGAGCCCCCCACAAACACCATCCTTGACCAGTGCACCGAGGCTGACACGGGGAGGGTGGCTATCGGGGCACAGGCAGAGCAGTGGCTCGGGGGCAGGACTCGTGGATCCCTGGAGAGGCGCACATTTTGTACCAGTCCAGGTGCCAGGGGCGCAGACTCGGGATCGGGCCAGCCTGAAGGAGGCAGCACCTGGAGAGGGCCGAAGACATGCAGATGGAACAGCCTGCCTCGGGGCACCCTGTGACTTGAAGGGGCAGGGAGACAGGCGCACCCAGTCCCACAGGCCACGGGGCCACCGCCACAACGCCGTCAGCTCTCCTCCTGCCTCGGGCAGGTCTAGGTGGTCCCGGGTGGCCCCAGCATGCGGGCTTCCTGTCCCAAACCTTCTTCTTCTGACAACCGTCTCTGGATGAGCACCCGCTGGGTAACTGCGGAGAGTGCTGGCTGGAGACCCGACGCACAGCAGCAGAATCCGGATCTCTTTCCGAGTCTGCGGACCCGGCCTTGGACACATCCTTCTGAAGCCCTTGAGGCCCTGAGGGTGGCGGCTGTGGCCTGACCAGCTCCTGGCCTCTGTCTCACCCAGGGAGAAGCCTTGCTGCGCAGGACTCCTGGCCTCCCCCTCAGTGGTCTCTGGCATGCAGCTGAGAGGCCAGAACCCGTGGCATGTGGACTCGCAGAGCGGAGATGTGCTTCTGGGTGGTGGGGTCCACGGAGGCGTGGGCAGTGGGACCGTGGAGGTGTGGGCGGCAGCGGTAGGTTTGCTCACCTTTAGGGGCAGTGGCAGTGTGGGGGGCGGAAGGAGCCCCAAGGGGAACTAAAACCGCAGGGACAGCATAGACAGCGCGCCTTCCAGGTCCCGAAACAGCCCCGCCCTCCCTCTGACCAGAGCCTCCTCTGCTCCGTCCTGACTGGGGCGGCGGCTCCTCGCGGGCCTCCACGGTCCCAGGACAGCCAAAGTCAGGTGGTGGCTCCCCTTCCTCCAGCCTCCTCCACAGTTTCCGGAAAACAGAACCACCTCAGCTGCGGCCTCTTCACCCCGCACCTCGCGCACCCTAACGGGTCCCTGACGCCATTCTAGGCCCGCTGGTTGCAGGGCACCCTGTGTCCCGTCTCCCAGCTGAGCTGCGGTGGCACAGAGCTGCCCGGTGGGGCCCGAGCCAGCCCGTGCTGGGTAGAGGAGGGGACACGGGGGCCCTGGGCCAGATGCTGGGGAGCAGGACGAGCAGGAGGAAAATTCACAGCTGGTGAAGCCGGGCGCGGGGACCCTGCATCGGACACGGTGGCCCAGGACAAGCCGAGGTCAGCCGGCACGTATTCCCCACTGCCACCACCGTCTCGGGCCTGCGGGGTCTCTTCAGGTAAGAACTCAAGATGCCAGACGTGAGGGCTGCCTGCCCAGGGGCACCGGGAAGACCCTGAGCAGAACTGCGGCTGGGCCCCCTGCTGGCTGCCGTGTGAGGCCCGCGCCTGCGGGACCCCCCGTGGAAGTTCACGCGGGCCCTCCGTGTCTGTTAGGACCAGCACTCAGGGGCCCTTCCAGGTCTCATCTGGAGCCCTGGGAGGGCGGTGGCCTCACCCAGGCCGTCAGCTCCCGGTCTCGGATGTAGCACCCTCCTGCCACCGTGCAGGGGCCAGGCCCGCAGGGGTGTGTGCTTCTCTGTGGTTCTGGCAGCCTTTGTCACTGAAGTTCTGCCTGTGTCACCACGTGTGACCAGGGTATCTCCACGCCCCTGCCCTCGCCTGGCCTGCCCAGTCCCTCTCCACTCCATGGACCCTGCTCCCGTCCACCCGGCTCCTGTCCTCCACCACAATGGGCCTGCCCTGTGCCCCCATGTGTCCTCAGCCTGTCACTCTCCAGGTGCCTGGCACGTGGGAGCCCTGCAATCCCATTTCTCAGGGGGGGAAACTGAGGCACAGAGACAGGAAGTGGCTCCGAGTGGCAGAAGGTGGTGCTAGACAGTGGGTCCGACCCAGCATAGGGGTTCAGGCCTGCCCAGCTCGCCTCGGGGTGGGGACCCAGCACACCAACCCCACGCTTGGGAAGTCTAGAGCAGGAACCGCTTCTCCCTAAGGCAGGGTCAGGCTCTAGGGTGCTTTGTCACTGGAAGGACAGTGTCCCTACCTCATCCCAGCCTCCACAGCCCCCGTGCAGGGGCACAGGCCTGGCGTGGACCGGCTTCCCTCCTGGGCAGCCTCGTGCTCAGGAGGACACGGAGGTCCCAGAAGGAGGAGTGGGCAGAGACAGACGGACACAGAGGGAGCAGAGGAGTCAAGCACAAAGGCGGCCGGCGTGGGTGACCCCGGCTCTGCCCCGCTCCCTCTCCCTCTGCCTCCTGTGATTTCCCTTTTCCGAGTAACCCTGTGAGCATCAGCCACACACAGAACTTCGGGTCCCAGTGCTGGGAACAGGGCCAGCTCTCCCCTAGCGGACGTCCACCAGATCCGCTTCCGAGCCGGCACGCGTGGAGTCTTCCGTGCTCAGCACAGATCGCAAGGGTTCGCAGGCAGTCAGAGGGGGTGCTCAGTCCCCCACGCCCCCTCAGGTCACGCTGGCTCCCGTGCACGGCCGGCCTGTGGAAAGGCAGCGCTGTGTCTTTAAACAGGGCGGAGGCGCTGCCCAGGAAGCCGGCAGTAAAAAGGCTAATGCGCTGCGGAGGAGAAGGAGTTTAATCTAATTTAGTTGGAGGGTGTCTGTCTGCGGTGTTGTTTTTTGGAGTGTGGGAATGGAGGAGGGAAGCTGGCCCCTTGAATGGTCCCTTCTGCGCCAGAAGCAGTGGGGAGCCGCTGGACGCCAGCGAGCCCAGGCCCGGCCTTGAAAGAGGATTAAAGAAACGCTCTGATTTGCAATTCACGGGAATGCACCCCGCGGAACCTCTGGTAATATTTCAATCCACATCTCAAGGGAAGTGGCCTTAAAATAGCAACCTAAATTGTTCTGCAGCCTCGGAGGGTGCTGGCTCATCCAGTTTATGACGAGGGGCTTTTTTGTTTTTTGTTTATTTCTTACCTCCCCTTCCCCTTCCCCCATCTTACAACCGGCGCTTTTTAAGTGTAATTAAAACTTTTGTGCCTGCTGAATCTGCTGGGACCTGCCTGCCTCTCCAGTACGAAATATCCCTCCCGGGGGCTGAAGGGGTTTTCAGCGGGGTGGCAGAGGACAGGCTCGCTGGGTGAGAAAGCGGGGCTTTCTGTACATGTTTATATCTGCGAAGCTTCTGGGGAAAGCCGACACAAGATAGGTCAGGAGCGCAGCCCGCACACGGGCACCCACGCCGTGTGCTAGGCCACGGTGCGCGGAGACCACTTTCGCACTTCTGCTCAGGCGGGGTCCGGCAAGTCCTCGCTCACACCCAGCAGCGAGGGCACCAGCAGGTCAGACAGAAAAGACCAGTCTTGCTACCGGCTCACCAGTCGGGAATGTGACTGAAAGGCCACTCCAGGGGAACCACCGCAAGGCCCCCGGACAGCCGGTACCCTCTCAGTCTTCAAACTGCCCCACGATGTCCTCTTCCGGGCCCACTCCGCTCAGCTCGCACAAGCTTACCGCTGCAATTAGCTCGTAGCACGCTAAGCTTACGGTTCAGTTTCTCTTTACTGCTGAAAGTCTCAGCACTTTTTATCTTAAAGAGATTATTTAGGTTTTTCTCTAATCCCGTTTCAAAAAACCTCGCACAGGGCTTATAATTTCCATTGACTGTTACATAATAAGAAAAGATACAACTTTGATTGTTGGCAATATCCGTGTCAAAGTACTTTATACTTCTGACTTGCTGCTTCAACAGAGGGAAAGTGGGCCTCCCGCTCAAACCCTTCCGCCCCCAAAAACCTTCGTTCTGCACCAGAGGCTGCCTGCCTCCCGAAATCTTCCCTCTCAAAAACTTTCCACTTTCCCCTGCGAACATCTGTAGGACCTTAGAGACAGTGTGATGATCGAGGGAGGCCTTCTGCTGTGTATACATTTTTAGGTAGTGGAGGCGGGAAAGAAATCCTTCGCCCTGTACGTTATACACAATCGTGTTTAATTATAAAGTTTCATTAGAAACCTCTGCTCGCATTTTTAGAGGCCTAATAAGATTTCCATTAATTTAAACATATCACTATTCCCATGACCGCCCCCAACGCTTTCTCTTCCCCCTTTCATCCATGGTTAAATATGTAAATAAAATGTCTAAAGTCATTCTTCAAAGAAGACAAAAGAAAAAAGGGCTGAGGGAGAGGCAGCCATAAAATTCTTCCCCATTCTCCATAACAGTTGCCAGAGGGGGGCCGGTTGCAGCTCAGCCTAGCAGCGGGGAACCGGCCGCTCCTCAGACTCACAGCGCAAATCCCACACACAGGGAAAAAAAATAAAATAAAATATCTTTTCAGCTGGAGCATCAAAAGGCCCTTTTCATTTATTAGTTACAGAGTTATCTTCCAGTTGCTGGTTTCTCAGAGGCCCTTTCTGGGTAATAACGTCTATTTTGTTGGTCTGGGTCGCTGCTGGCCACAGGGACAGGATACTCTGTGGACATATTTATAAAAAAGGAAGAAAAAAGAAAAGCAAGAGAGAAGAAAGCCATCTGAAGTGGCCGTGGCTAAAATAATAGGCCTGAACATGGTGGAATTAAAACCGCACATAAAAGATCAATTAGGCCATACTCTCGCACCCCACTCCAGGCTTTGGCACTGGGAAAGCAGACGCCGGGGCAGAAGGGGACAGGGTACCCGGGCGACCTTCTCAGGGGAACTCTAGAAGTGCCAAGTGACATCTACAGAATCTTTTCTAACTTGGAGGTTCTGAAAGGTAGCTCAGGGGCCGGAGGGCACAGGGCTCACTGTACCAATCACAGCGGCAGTTTTCACACACCCACCTTGCTGGCTTCCACCGTGCCCGACCCCCTGGCCCTCACCCAACCCTCCCAGGGGTCAAGGACTCCATGATGGAGGCATGAAACACCGGTCTGCCGCTTCTGGGACCCAGGGCAACCGCGGGCTCCCACGTCTGAGGAAGGAAGGGATGGGTGAACGGCGGAGGTTGTCGCCGTGTTCTAATTAGAAGCCGATCCTCGCAGTAAGTGTGGGGGCCCCCGCCACTGCGCTGGGGGCTGGGCGGTGCGAGGCGCCTGGCGCCCTTCTCCTGACGTCCTGGGGGCTTCCCAGAACCAGCTAGGAATCCGCCGACCCCGCACGGGTGAGAGCTGTGGGTGGAGCCCCCTCCCGGGTTGGTGCCGCGCGTGAGCCTGGGGCGCGGTGGGGACCGGGGCCGGGTGCGCGAGGCCCCTGCCCTCGCCTCTCCGCAGGTGGTCCTGGGAGTTTCCCAGGCACTTCAAAGGCCCGGCCTCCGGGGTGACTACGGGACACCTGGGGACTGTTTATCCAAGGGTTAGTGCGGGAGGCTGTCGAGACCCGTGTGCATTCCTGGTGCAGTGAGCTGGTGTGCGCGCCCTGCGCGCGGGGGGGAGGGTGCAGGGAGGGGCGCTGCGTCCAGAGTGGCTGCCCACGAAGGGGGTCGCAGATCCTGAGGTCCCGCGGCTACTGCACGGTGGGTGTGGACCGCGGCCTGCGTCTCCAGTTCCTTCTCCGCCAGCGGGATCCCTGCTCGCCACGCCCCACGTCGCCGCGCGACCCTCACCAAGTAACTCGAACAGCGGGCGGGCAGCGGAGGGTTTCCCACACCAAACGACCCAGACGCAGGAGTCGGGGTTCAGCCTGCGGGCGCGGCTTCCAGACCCGGAAGGTCCCCCAACGCCGGCCCACCCCGCCTCCTAGAGGAGACCTCGGCCTTAAATCCAGGCCTGAAGCCCTTCCGCCCCTCCCGATCCCTTTGAAATTTCAAAGCCAAACCCTCTCCGGAGCCAGACCGCGCGCCCCAGGCTGGTCACCCGGACCCCGGGAGACGCGGGCAGGCTTACAAGCCAAGGGGCCACTTTATGGCCAAGGCCATAAAACGCAAATCTCCCTTTTCTTTGAAAGCGCACTCCGCCCGGGACCCATCATAAAAGTCGGGGAGGTTGCGCCCTCACCCTGCGCCCACCCGCGGATCGTCCCCAACCGCGGCCCCCGAACTTCCCGTAACCTCGGCGTCCTTGGGGTGCGGGGCACGGTGGCGAGGACCCCGAGACCCGGGGAAGGGAGGCCGAGTCGAGGCGGCGGGCTTGGCCCGGCGGGGTGTCGGGACGGGGCGCCCGGGGCGCACGGCTTTCTCATGCAAAGCGCGCGGGG